AAAGCAAAAATATCCCAACTTCATGGATAGTACCTCTTGTTTCTACCATTTCAAACAGGTAATGATATGTTACGGAAGTGTTCTGTAAAAGGAAGGCAGGGGAGACATCTCCATTTCACACCAACTTACTGCTCCTCTACTCTGTCCTTACCACCCAGGAGAAGATGTACAACTTTGGAAAAGAACCTACAATTGAACTGCTCAATTTTTTAGCTCTGGCAGCAGCTCCAGTCAAGAAGCCTAAGTAATTTCCCTCCTATTTTAGGATACTGGCAAAAATGATGACACACACAAAAGAACAGAAACAACCTCATGGGTGGCACAACCAAAGAAAATTAATTATTTATCTTCATGCAAAATAAGCAACAACTGGTAGAATATGCTTTGCAGGTCTCTTATCTGAAAGACTACATTGCACATTCAAGCACACACTGGTTTTGAGTTACATGAAATATTATATAATAAAGAAAAGCTTGCACTAGGTAATTACAAGGCTTTTTATTAAAAGCCAGAAAAACTAAAAGATAACCCTGAATTATTATAGCCATTTCCATTAATCCTTAAAAACAAAATTGAAAGGATTAATTTTTATTCTTAGATCATAAATTCTCTTCACACATCCCAAGAGTAGCAGAAGTTATAATAAAAGTCTGCTGACAAACTGTAGTAGGATTGGATTTAGAGTTGTATTAAACCTCACTAACCAAACCACCTTTATAAAAATATTACTCTTACTTTTGAGGACTAAAAGTATCTGCTCTGGATTAATAAGTATTTTTTAAGCAAAATGTTTTTAGAAAGTGATCTCAGAAGAACTTCTTTAATAAAAGTATCTAATAACCAAACGCATAGGACAGCAACAGGAAAAAAAGTAATTTTATGTCTACCAGAAGAGCAGAACAATCCAAATATTCCTCTCCTTTTCTCAGCTGGAAAGGCTTCTAATTTGTATGAGATTTTATTTATTTTATTTTTTTAAATTTTATTCTATTCTATTTTGGTTTGGGGCTACATCTTATTTAGGATTATATTTTATTCATCTATGGTCTACTCACTGATGAAGTTTCGTGACATTTAGAACACAGATTATACTTACTTATGTTCCAATAGCACTTATCATTGTATGTCTAGGATAAAGAAAACAGCTACAATGTATTTCAAGATAGTTGGAGACCAAAGCAATTGTAAGAAAAGGCATTTGGCAAATTATGAAAAAGAATGTCCTAGTGTTTCTCCATGTGATGAAACAGAAAGGGATTGAAAGGGATTTCCCTTTCTTTTTTTTTTTTTTTTAATCTGTTTTGCCCTTTTATTGGCTGAGGGATGCAAACAGACATTATAGACTAAGGCAAACTTTCACACTGAGGCATCAGATCAAACATTTACTGATTTGAAGAAGCACATTGAAAGGAGAAAAACCTTTACTAACTGTAAACGTTGGACTACAGAAAAGGTTTCTAAGTTTAAACACTGAAGGTTTATCCTCGCCAGTCTGGATCCGCTGCAACTGTGGACTACAAATATAACTATTACATTTACCTCTGTCCTCTAGAGCACACTATGATGAATTCTGCTCTTGCTGCACTTTGCAGATCAACTCTAAAGTAAAGTCTAATTAGAAGCACTGTAACAGTCAACTCTGGATATTTAAACACTATGTTATACTGAAAGCTTAAAGAGACTAAAATAAACAGCACGCCAGCTTAATGAAAGATTTAATCTATTTTTTATCACTTAATAATGTCCAAAGCAGACTGTTAAGTAATACTATTCCCTTTATGAAATCCTACAAATGTAATTTTAAAACATTCTAGCAACACACTGCCCTTTCCTGACCTGAGCAGTTGGCTGAAGCTCAATGTCTTGCTGATTGCTTTGGTCAGGAGAAGAAATCAGTGGAAGATATGTCTGCTTTAGGCATAATCCTCAATATGTGCTCTAATTGTTTCTCTCAAGCAAAGAAGCCCTTGAACAGGGATTCAGAGAAAGGAGAGTAGGTAGCAGAATAGGACACCTTACAGAGTAAGTTACTGGTGAGCAGTCTTTCTACATTCTTTATATGTTGGTGCATATACATATATATATTCACGTGAGTAACTTGAAGCATTACTTTTTTCTCTGCATGGGGAAGGAGAAGGACAAAACATGACATCGTGGGAGGTAAAGGTGGGTTCCCATTTGCAGGCTTAATATCTGCAGCCAGCTGGGCTGTTGGATGGGGAAAGTGCTGGTTTGCAACAGTTAACTTTTCTATGTGATCATGTTCTCTTTGAGTAGAGTGACAGAACTAGAGATAGGGTTGGGAAGAGGATAATGCAAGGCCTGTCTCTTCACTGTCAGCTGATAAACTCTTTGTGAGTAACCCAGACCCTAGAACTGTTGAACTAAGGTGGATGCTCATATTCTGAATAATTAATATCTTCAAGCTATCAAACCCTTCATCACCCCAGATAACTGAGAGTTAATGCCTCAAGAAAATGATAATACAGAAATGAAAGTTCACTGTTTCTCCATAATCTGCTAAGGCTGAGCAACTGATCAGAATGATGAACATTTGAATGTAACATACGCTGAAAATAACTGCTAACTTACCTATTCAGCTGTTGTGGATTGCTTCCAGACCTAACAAGCCCCTAGTAGAAAGCAGTACATGATAATAAATGCATGATTCTGGCTGAACTAGAATGAATCGGGAACTCAGTTCACCAACGTTAATGTATTTTATTTGTGATATCTGATTCCAGAAGGTGAAATCACATCATGGCAACATGATATCTCACCCCAGCCACTTGACACATCAGCTCCATTTTCCCCTCCCACACTATGTGTCATGGTTCTTATGATTACAGACCTTCTGACAATTAAGATTAGGATCAAGGTTTCTCCTGTGGTGAAGGTTCAGAGCTTTTCACGTCAAGATCCTTTACCACAAGTTACAGTGAACACCACCAGCAGACCGCTTAAGCATATAAAGCTTTATGCTTTGGCCTGACTGATAGAACTGAAGATCCCTGAATTCACTGTGATAGCCATTAAAATCAACGATGTCTTTACTGCATAGCAATAACACATGGAGAAAGATAATCAGCTGTGTTTTAGAGTACTGCCATCACCCCCAGAGATGATTTGAACTGGTCCAATGTAACTTGCAGAGCGGAAAATATGAGAAAAAACATGGCGCTTCAGAGGAAAACATGGATGTAAAAGAAAAGCTTATTTTAAAATGGAAGCCCTCACAAACATGTGCATGCACATACACACCTAAAGCAAGGCTGAATTACAAGTGTGAGCTAGACAGATATTAAGTAGGGAGTTTCCATTCTAGGTGACACCTTACTTTTCTTGCAGGATTATCTGTGTTACTTTGTCACTGAAAGAAGCAAAATCTTCACTTTCAATCCAAGCCCTGAAAAACTATTATAGATCCTTGGCACTGAATCACACGTGAGCAGGCAAACTGACATAAAAGCAACTGAGTCCCCAACTCCTATCTACCCCAGAAAACATTCCTCCTATAGGTAAATGGGCTGCTTCCAGTCTTTTATTGGATTTACTTGAACTGACTCCAATCACAAAACTCATCTTTTTCTTCCTCCCCAAAGATAAAAGCCACAGTTTCCTGGTAACTTAATTATAAACAGTTTTGAGGCAGAAGAATGAGCTCTAACGGAGAATGTATAAGTGCAGCTGAAGCTTTTATTAGAAAAAATGAGAATACTGATTAATTAGAGAAGTCTGGAGGGAATTTTAGTGTGACTTCTGGCATAAAATATATCCAGTTAAACTGAAAATTCATATGAAGAACTTTTCCCCTTTGACAAAAGCACACAGGTGTGGCACAGCAATTAGTTCCAACACGAAGGCTGTGCGGACAAAGGGTGTCTTAACTGAAACAGTTCATTTTTCCTCTCACTTCTTTTGCACTGCTATAATTCTGTTATGTTCAACAAAGTCTACGGTTATTTTATTATTAATTAACATTCAAAAATCATCTGACCTTCAGAGAAGGTTACAAATTTCTCCAAGCTACCTCTGATGGCTTCTTTGTTCAAGTAAAATATATTAATAATATAAGTACAATTCAGCATTCACATTATATGAGAACTGAAATATTCAAAATAAAGTCTGTCACTCGCAGCTGACCAAATGTTCTGAAGCTAGAAGGATTTATATTTCTATTTAATTTCAAACATGAGAATAATCCCACCATAACATGAAATGCACTGTAGGAATAGAGTGTCACATAGCACGCATTATGAAAACATACATTATAACACAGTTTATGTAAATAATACACATAATTTCACATTTTATGTAACTCATAATTTTCATTTTAAAACGATCTGCTTTTTTTTTTTTTTTTTTTTTTTAATATACAAAATGGCAACTGGGTCTGTCATATCTCAGGAATACCTATCTGTTTACAGGTTCTCCCAGCTGGAAATTCTCATCAAGTGATTAACGTCCATGACACAGAATTGATTGCTGAACACAACTTTATGATGTGTTTTCCAGACAATTCCCTATCCTTTGGCTATAATAAGTGTGAAAAATGTCAGTCTGCCACATAAGCAGTTTGAAAGCCAAACTTTTTCTGCCTGTCAAAGCTGGGACCTGCAGGGAAAGCCAAGAGAATTCAGTCCACTCTAAATTGTTTATTTTATGCCTTAAGTTTTTGAAGGACTCAAAAAAAGAATGCTCAAGGCAAGCTACTGCTCAAAGCTGATTCAGTTTTGCCATGTAAGCACAGCACAAGTGCAGCTCATCCCTATGCCTGCAAACATGCCGTATATTTAAGTGTACTTCCACACACTTCAGCTATATTAATAAATTGCATAATACTTATACTTGTAAAATAATAAAAATATGCAAAAAATATTAAAAAATGAGATAAACAATACTTTAAGAACGTTCAGATTATCAGAATGCAATCTCAAGACCGTGAATGTGAAGAACATGGCTTAAAAAAAGCCTGAGTCTCACATTCCATCAGCACTCACCATTCAGCCACTTGGAGTTGTACTGGGCGGTGCGGAGAGGAGGAAGGGCCCCCAAACTTCGATAAATAGCAGGATCCCTTCCTGGAAAATCCATAGCCGTAGCAGCATATAATTCCCCACTGGAAGTGAGAAGAGCAGTGGAGTTGTGCTGGGGACTGTAAGGACAACGAGCCATGCCACTGATTTGGTCATGTATCTCCGTCAAGTTAGTTAACTGTAAAAGAATTAGAAAAAGGGATTAAAATTACCTGAAAATTATTATTTCAGCCAAGCTGCATCAGTCTGAGCAAAATCCTACCATAAATACCAGTTATCTGCTTTAGTATTGTACAGTAATGATGAGTCAACCTTTACATCAATCTCAAATTTTCTTGTATAGAAAGTTTTATTGCCATGTTGTCTGGTTTACTTTTTCTACTTTGGTATGTAACACATACATGACAATCATTAGTCACCATGGCTGAAATGTTTTCTATTAGAAGCGACTCAAAAATTAGTTATCTGTACAAAGATTGTTACTATGAAAAAGAAAAACAGAACTGATTGTGAGAATCAACTAAGGTATTCACTGTAGCAAATAACTAGACAATAAAAAACCCCATATTTATTATTTGTGTTGTTGGTGTATTTCAGGAAAGAATCTCACATGAAAAATGAGATTAACAAAAGGAGCTTTCCAATACAGCAGAATCATCTCTGATTTCATAGCCTAAATACTTTTAGCCATAAACAACTGTATGATGTTAATGTGCTATTTGAAAGAAAAGGTACAATGGGCTTAATTATAATAAATGTGCCTAGTTGTTTTTAGTGATACAGTTATTCTTTGTATTTGAATGTTCCTCCCCTCCTGAAATAAAGAGGTAGCTAGTCTGAACAGTGACATTTTGATATTTATTATGACTGTTATTCATCCTACAATTAGGCATTTTTTGTAAACAGAATGACAGATCTTCTTAACCAAGATTTCTGATTCTCATCAGTCATAAGTTACATGTACTCTCATTTCTCCAGAACTACACATACACAATACGCAGCTACACAACTACATTTTATAACTAAACCAGTTGATGTTAACCAAAGTTGACATAGTGGCAGAAGTCTTAGAAATACCTAAAGTTCATGAAAATTGCCCTGTAGGAGAAACTAAGCTGCTCATAGCTGAGGAAAAGACTGCAAAAAGAGATCATTGGTTAGCTCTCCTATCTGGCCTGCCACTAGCTAAATCAACCTTTTACAAATCAGCTCACCCATCAACATACAAATAGCCAATTCTCAACCACATTATGCTCTGCCTTTTAATCTGCTGGCCCAGAACAGGGATCTCAGCTTGTAGGGCAAAACATTTAACTCATACCGTTCGATTGGTGCAGATTGGAGTGAATGCATTGGTTCCACAGGTGAAGAGATGCTTGCCTCCCACAAGAAGCACTCGAATGTAGTTCTGACATTCCTCCTGCGATGCATAAAAAGCATACTCAGTGATACTTCGAAGTATAGAGGAGATTATTTACAATTTGCTTTCCACGGTTATGTGTCCACACGGAAAAACTTTTAGTGAAAAAGGCTTAAGCATACCCAATGTGTTAGCAAATACAATATGCAGAGATTTCTTAATAAAAACACATGCATCCATCAACCTTTCCAAAAAGTTCTTAATAGGATAACAAGTAAACCTCTTCAGTGTTGAAGATTTCTTCTCAGGGTATATTTCAAAGGTTTAGCTAAATTCTGAACTGATAGATACTGACTTAAATACACTTCTGTCTCGAGATCAGATGCTGATTTCAAAGAGATTTGGCCAAGGAAAGAAGTTATGAGGAAAACAGGAGAAAAAAACAGGCTGTCAGTAACAAGAGTATACTGAAACCAGAACAAATAAAATTCTTAAGGTGTTCAGATGTGGATCTGTTACAACTGATTTCATAATTTACACAATCTGTTCTATTAAAAGCATCTAATTGCCTGTTAATTCAAACTTTCTCAAAATTTTCATAACCACAATACAAAGATGCTCATCCCTGAGGAATAACTTTACATTTTTTTTACCCCACTAGGATGTGTGAAGGCTTTATGATGTTCATGTCTCTCATTTCAGAAGCTGGAAATCAACATCAAATTCTACTGTTATTCAGATAGAAAGCCTTCTCCTGAAATATTAAAAATCTCCCAGAACTGTATGCAGGAAAGATTCAAATACTTCTCTCGCAAAAATCAATGTCCCTATCTGATCAACAATATGTTTGAAGAAAATAAAGTTTGCTGGAAACTTGCATTTGAATACTCTCTCACAAGATAGTCTCATATAAAGCATGAAAAAACCTTGTGAAATTACAGCTATGCAATTCCAGCAGATATTAAGTGAAATCATGTAAGTAAATCCATACAATAGTAATGGTGCAGAAGTCCCATTATCTGGCCTGCAGTTATATTAAATGTATTGCTTGTTTATCTTGAAAATAGACTTTCATCCTGGAAGAAAACAAATATAATCCTGAATAAATTGAACAGGCACAAAATAGACTGCAAAAGAAGATGAAGAAAACACTTTAAAGATCTTTGAGAAAACTCTCAGGATTTATCTTCTATACCCTTCTTCATCAACTTAAAAATAAACTAAAAAAATCCTGTAAAATCTTGGAAAAAAACCCCACCTCTTTGAAAAAATCGCTCTCAAAACCACATTTAAACTAGTGTCTCATGAAAATGATGAAAGCGTTGCTTTTAAATGCTTCTCTTTGAGCCTTTAAAGGTAAGGGCCAAATGTCTTAGAAGGAAAATTTGAATCCTATTGGGAAAAAAATGCTAGGTTTTTATAATGAACTTTACAAAACTGTCATTCTTTAAACCACAAAGAAGTAAATATGCAACGGCAAAACAGAGTTGGGCAGTGCAACAAGCCTTTTATAAAGAAATAATTTCACATTTTGGCAGTACGGGCATTTTCTATATTTCAGGTTGCTTTAATATCATCAACAAAAGAAAAGAAAAAAAAAGAATCAACCCCCCTAAAAAAATAAAAAACCCCAAACCAAAACAAAAAACCAAAACAAAATAAAACCAACCCAAAACAAAATCAAAAAACCCCCAAACCAAAACCAAAACAAAAACCCAGCAAAAACAAAACACAAAACAAAACAAAAAAACAAACACAAAAAAGCCTTGAAAACAATTCCTTTTTTTTTTTTTTTTTTAATTTTTAAATTTTTTTGGAGGGAAGGGTGCTCAAGGAGGTTCATAGAATGTACAACAGCAATTTATTCTTTGGTCTGTTTCCATTCTGCCCTTTGCAGCAAGTCATGGAATGTAAGTGTAGGAAAAATAAGTGGGTTCTGACATTACAACGCATCCAACCTCTCCTCTTCATATTCCAGAGCTCCCTGAAATAGTGTCGTTTCCAAATTACTTGCATGCTGATCACCCACTCTTTTTGTTCAAAAATAATGTTAATTTTTTTAACTGGCATTCTTGGGAATCACAAGATTCTTCTCTTTAATGTTCCCAAGTCCTGTGCCAACTTGACAGTAATCCATACTGCAATAGGGCAAATAAGACATCTCATTTCAAATTTTTGTCAGGCACACAGTGCAACAAAATGGAAACTGAAAGAATAGCTTTTTTAAGAGTCTATTTTCTTCATATGAAAAAAGGTTCACACTAATAGAAAACAAATTTAAAAAAAAATTGCCATTAATAAAACAATCACTACCCAAAAACATACTGAAAAATTACTTCATTGTTAAGTCATTTGAATTGTTCAGAGATAGTTTTCTAGCTCTGGAGTCAAGCCTAGCGGTACTAGAACACTTTTAACACATTAAGAATTAAGACGTGGATGGTAAAAGTGGCAGTGGTGAATGCAAAGGATTTCAAAAGCAAAGTATTTTTTAGTTCAGGGGGCAATATTAGGTTTAATAGCCATGTTTTATGTAGTCTTATTCTCCAGTTCATCTTGACCTCTATGTCATATACTTTCCTGTTTTCCTATAAAAGTATATCTGAAATAAAGAAATTAATTTAGGAATTACTTTCTACTTCTACATCAGCATTTCTGAAACAAAATACAACTATTAGAAACAATTCAGCAGCCAAGCAGGCTAGGCTGTTACTTAAGTTTAAGACCACTTTGACAGTTCAAGGAGAATCTGGCTGCAGTATGGCTATCCTCTTGCAGCAACATTAACATTTTAAACACACCTGTGGCTTAATTTTAAATACTTTTGCTGACAGATCAGATATAACACATACAACCATTAGAATCTTAAATAAGCAAGGGATGGAACTTAATTCCAATTATTATTATTATTTTTAATCTCTTTGGTTCATTGCATTTCAACACAGGCATTTATATTTTTCCTTTCTAACATTCTCTACCACAAGTATCAATATGAATGGACAAATTTACTCTTTTAACTATGTGTGGTGTTTTAGACTTCTAAATGCTAACGCATCCTGGCCACAAGGACATAATGTTGTCTGACTCACTCTTGGAGCCACTTGTTATTTTAAGCAACAACTTAAATTGGTGGATAAATGTCTGAAGTCTGAGTAACAAACATCGGCCTTCAAAAGTCAAGTGCACATTACACTGTCAAACATGACAGATGTCTCTATACATTTTCCCCTTCAGCTCTTTTCCCTTGTTGGCTCCTAAAGCATAAACTTCAGAACATCAAGTACTGATAACAGCTACAGGCAAAAATTCCATGTAGCTCCTTTCTCAAGAACAAAGAAAAAGAAAAGACTTGTGTTTCACTGACCATTATCTCAAAACTACTAGAGTTGCTTCAGGGTTCAAAGCCAGCTCCGGATTTCAGGGCAGTGACTCCATCAGCAAGCTGACTTTTAGTTTTGCCATCTGAACTCATTGGCCCCATGCTGCTCTGTGGTCAGCAGAGCCTCAAAAGAAACCAGGATCTGAATGAATAATCTACCCATGGCCATCCTTGCAGTTCTCATCTCTCCTTCACCACAGCCTGAGCTGGCCTTACTTATTTTGTCTCCAGTCTTTCCTGTCCCTTTCCTACATGTGTCTTCCCTGAAATCTGAGTTAGTCCTGAGAAATGTTAAATGCAACCCCCAGCAACTCTCCAATTTGGGCTCAATCTATTTATAAAACAACAGTAAAACAAGCAATTTTTCTAACAACAGTAACTGGAATTGTGTCTGCCAGGAGATTCCCTCTGAGAGGGACAATTCCCTGTAGCACTGGAGTAAATTCCTCCTTGTCTAATAATTCCCAGTTTTTCCAAGGGAAGGCTTTTGTGGTTTGACTAGGAGGAGAAACAGGCCACATATTAGCTGCTTTCCTCACCTGCATGCTTAAGTCCTCCTTCTACAGAGAGCATAGTGACCTTGCTTAAGTCTTGGAAATAAGGCAATAAAAGACAAACATCATTAGGCTATCCTTTCTCTGGTCATAAATTTATCCTTTGATTTTAACCTCAAGCACATCAGTTAAAACAAAAGAGGCATGAAAAGTTCAAAAAGACAGTTGTTCCAGCTGGGTAAGTTGCCTCAGTCAATATCTCTGCATTCTCCAGCAACTCCCATGTGAAGCTTTCAGGCCATAAAGTCTGCACACAAAAAAGCCCCAAAACAAAACAAAAAATAAAGCCTGTGGTAGCAATATCTGTTTACTTCCAGGATTACTTTTGAAGGTAAAGAAAAATCAGGATTGTACTCCTCTTATAGATTGTGAATGAGGAACATGGCTATGGGTACAAAGGAAATCTTTCTCAAAAAATAGCAATCCTAAGAAACAATCCCAGAGGTCATTATTAGAATAGCATTTTACAGTGACAGCCAACTTCCAATCACCAGGTTCTACAAAAGGGTGTGATGAACGTGAGCAAAACTCTGCATGAATAAAAAACTGCACTAAGGTCCATCCTTAAATATGCTTAAACAGTGTTGAGTATTTCTCTCAGCAAAAGTATTTAAAAGCAGCGTATGCTTTGCACTGTTGAAGCAAACAAGTGGTAACATTGTTGTCAACATATTATTCAAAAGTACATTACTATAGCCTCAAATTTACAATTACTTTCATCCATCACTGCACTGTGACTTTCAGACAAGTTGAAAGTTATTCTCACAGTTTTAAACTTGGAAAATCACTGTAAAACAAAGCCATAAATGTTTAGTTACACATTGATTCCTACCAGAATAGGTTCTACTGTATAAGGCCCTTGATCAGTGCAATCTGTCATATTCTATTGTCACTTGAGCATATTCCCTTACTTCCAAGTATTGTCATCTGAAAGTTAAGGATAAAAGCTTGAGGGATATATTACATGGAGAAGCATAAATTTTCTATGGAGAAATAACAACTTAAAAAATTAAACATTTGCTTAAAATATGAGGTCCCAAAGGGTTTTCCTTTTCTATACCTCGTGGTATAACATGGCCCTGCTTCTGAATCAAGGCCATTCTTCCTCTTTAATCTCAAATTTAGAGTGTACAACAGTGTACCACTGTACACTGCAATTTTTTTTTTCCCATCACTCTGTAAAAAAGAGGTGGAAATTAACTGCTTAATGTGAGAAGTTAAAAAGTCAGTGATTAAATAACTATGCAGAAGAGACTCTTCTACTAGATGGCAGAGCTTTAGGAATATGGTTTTGAAGCTTGGAGTTTTTTTGAGTTTTGCACAACAATGATGTACGCTGACATGTTCTGCTGAGTAAAAGCAGGTGTGCTCTTTTGCAGTTATCACTCTTGCTGTGTATTCCCTTTATGTTTTAACTGAATTAACTTCAATCATTAAACAGTATAATAATTACAAACATAGACTGTGTGCAATTCTAACTGCTTTTATAATTAATTTGACAATTAGCTTCAGGTTTAGACAGCCACAAAAGAACACAGCACTGATAGAGGTTCCATCTTAGCATTACATTTACCTGTGCTGAATAAAAGAAATTGCAGTAGGCTAGGTAAAGAATTGGTTCTAAATACTAAAAATTTATCAAGTCCTATGTCTAGAGAGATTAGTGAATTTAATATAATTTTCTTTATAGCACCAGCAGAAAAATATAAAACTTCATAAAATTGCATCTAATACACAAGAATATAAATTGAGGATTTTACAAAGTAATTACACAGTTATGTGGGATTTACAGCACTGAAAATGAAGTGAGAGTGCAGTCCACTGCACATGACTTGTCACTGTTTAGCCTGTGGAGCTAAAACAGTGAATTGTTGGAAGCTAAAGCTAGTGATCATTTCAGAAAAGAATCACAAGCCTGTATCTCTAACCTCACAATCCCTATATTCTTTTTTAATCCTTTGGTTATACATCAGTGTCAAACTCCTTTTCTTCAACTCTCTTTAGAAAAAGAGACAGTAAAAATGCATAGGGTAGTGATTTATACACTGAATTACACCTACTATAACATATACATTTTATTAAAGCAGAACAGCTATCCCATGCTTACCTTTGATTTGCCTTTACTGTAACAGGCTCTTTTAGTAGCTTCATCGCATTGCCACTCCACTGCCTGCAACCAACAGGAATTAGTTAGAAATGCTGGGAACACAGAAATATAAACCTCAGACCTACCTAAGCCCATGCTTGTGATATATGTTTCAGGTTTACTGATAATTAGCTGTCGCTGATTCTATCCATATATGCCTTATAAGCTTTTCCTCTTTGGAAATGTAGTTTTGCTGATGAGGGTTTTTCAGTGTTTTAACCCAAAAGGAAGCTGGTCAACCTCATGATTCACTGTACTGATCAGTAGAGCAGAAATAATCAGTTATACTTCATGCTATTTAGCCACTTTTTTGTGAGTTTTTTAAGGTAAGCAGATAGGAACACACAGAAAGGCTGAATCTCTCCCCCCAGCATGGGTGATCTGCATCACCACAGCACCTGAGGTTAGCTCTGCTAAGAAACCTTGCACCGTGGGAAAGTGTGTCCTATTGCAGTTTTTGAAGTATTTAACTCAAGCATCAAATGGAGATTTTAGCCTCTAAAGGTATGACCACAGCACTAACCGGAAGCACTAAAACTTTCATTCAGAGAAAGAAGCAATGGACAGAGGATACAAGACAACAGTGAAACAGAACACTGCAAAGCAGAAGCAATTTACCCTCATTTTTTGAGCTGTTTCACTGCTTCAACAGATTTATGTCAGGACTGTAAAGCCTAGTCTGCATTACTACAGTTTCACTGCATGAGTTAATTCCAATTATTTCTGTATTTAACACTCAAGACCTATGACTTATGAACTTTATTGTTCAGTGGAGCAGGTTGTATGCTTGGTGTTTGTGTACCAATACATGTACGTATTTGAATGCCTGTATATGCTGTGTAGTCAAAGCACATTTTGAATCAGTCCGCATTCTTTCACCTCAACAGTGCACATCTGTATGTTCTTTAGATAAAAATGTCACAAAGCACTTCACATTTTATCAAGAAGAACTGAGATTTCTGAAGTAACCACTACTGCCTAATTATTGAAAACACAGTCTTTTCATTTTTATGCACGAGGAAATAATGAAAGACCACTTCTTCAGATTTAATACAGGAAATGTTTTGTACCTGTCTTTTAATGGAGACTATACTAATAGCAAGCAGACTCGTTAATTAACAGAAGGGTGCAAGCCTATTTAAATTAAGGGGGGGAATGCCTTCAAAGCATTTGTGTTTCAACAAGCCCTAGAATGAGCTTTTTTCATTTCAGGGGAAAAAAAAAAAAAGACATATGAAAACTAATGCTATTACTTCTCTTTCTCCATCCCAAACCTTTTTATTTACAGTATTTCCTTATGCAATGTTTAACGACTATAGCATATTGGGGAATACACTGAAAACTTCTGAAAGAATCCACTTGTGAATGATCCTAGCATTTATAACAAGCTGTATCTAATAGCATGAAAGAAATGTCATATGGAGTTAGACAAAAAAGCAGCAATGACCTAACTCTTTTGACTTTGTAATGCAAAAAGCAATTCATGTCTATAACAGAGATGAGAGTACGAAAGACTGCTCTTGGATGAGCAAGTAAGTTCCTAATCCATTAGGACATGCTGAATCTATATGTTATATGGCATTGAATCTGTTATATGGCACTAGATACAGGTATCTAATATTGAATATATTATCTCTAAACAACACAAAAAATTTCAAAAAACCTGGAGAAATGCAAGAGTTAATTGCCAGCAGGAGTTCAAAGTAGAAAGACTTAGTGAAATATGGGTGCTTAAAAGGAAGGTTTGAAGGAAAGTTCTTGCCAAAACTCAACTGAGAAGAATATACCAAGCATGAATAGCAGGAAAAAGGTTGGACTAAATCTAAAATATTTGTCAATTTATCAATTTTAGGTGACAAAATACCCAGCTTTCAATTGGCTCTAAGTCCAAAGTAAAATAGTAATTTGAAGGAGAAGGATATGAAATGTAAAAATTACACAATGTCACAAATCAAATTATTTAAGTATAATTCTCAGGTACTGAAAATTTTGGAAATGAAAATGAATAGACTTTGGAAGTAGGAAATTCAGAAGCTGAAAGTGACAGTTCTTCACGTTTTGAAATCTGAGAAAAGCATACAACACATCTCTGCAAGCAGGTCACAGCTTGAGAACCTGGGAACCCCAAGTGCACAATAATGCAAGGCTTTATTAACTCTGACCACAGTGAGAGAACATTGGGTAAGCATCTCCCCCTCACTCTCCTGTTCTCTGCCAGGCAATCATTGAGACCCAGCATTCATACATTTCATTAAAAAAAAAAAAAAAAAGAGGTGAAGAAAAACAAACATTTCAATGTTAGGAAACCCTGGTATCTATCCCTGGAGAGATGGACTCTTTAAGGAGCTTGCTAACTGCCACCCTTCTAAGAAGGAATCAAAAATTAAACTGTGACAATAGAGATGTGTGGGGCTCTTGGTGGAGCCTGTAGGAGGGGCACTCCCAGTATTACCTTAGCTCAGAAGTGGAGAGTTGGAAACAATCACAGACTGTTAGCTTTTAGCTAAATACTCTTTTAGTTAGGATAAACAACTTGGCTGGACCTCTCAAGTCTTAAATATTAATAAAAATTTTACCACCACATCACAAAATCACTTAAAACCATTAATAGCATGAACTGAAAATCAACCTTCTTCTCTTCGACATCTACACAACACACAGATTTAAATAAATATATTAAATATTAAAACGTTATGTAGCATTTCTGGATATCATAGTTAACAGCATACATAAGAACCAAAATGCTTGTAACCTAACCAAATGGCAAATGCTGGGAAAACCCTATTAATACAACATATTCTAAAAAGGAGTAATAGTATCTGAACAAGAAATAAATAAGTACAGACACACTGGTGACAAAGCTAAGTCCCATCTTTGAAATCAAGTGTACTTACAGTCCTATAGCCCTGGGTTCCACTGCTAGAGGAGATAATAATAGAGGAGACTGCAAATGAAATATAGCATAAAGGCATCTAAAGAGACCCGAGTACTTTAAACTGTTGTACTTTGGTCCCTAAGGAGGCAACACAGTTCAGCAGTGCAGACAAACATTTCTATATAATGAGGTTTTTTTCTTCTAAACTACAGAAAATTTGGGTAAGTTTTCCACAAAATGGAAATTTAGATATTCAACACAGTCTATTGGTTATATGTAGTGGGAAGACAGGTAGAAAACTCCTCAAGCTAAATGCCATTTCAGTGTGGAAAAAAAAAAAAAAAAGGAGAAAAATGCGTCCTGAATCTTCAACACATATAGATAAAATAAGATAAAATGTCCTAACAGAATAATAACAATGTGGGTTTTGCCAGCAGAAGATTAAGCCTTTGAAGTTTTCATTCTGAAAGACCGGATGGACACATGGATTCCTTTATTTTAGAAAGCAAATGAAAAACCATGTTTACGGATGTTACTGTTACCCACTGTTTCCATTAAACTGACATATTCTCCTGCTTAACACTGATTGCTGACATTTCCATGAAGTTCAGATGAGTAGCACAGATATGACATGCATATCATGTTGGATATTTGATTCACTGTGAAGGTCTACTCAGCTGATGTTCATCCTATTAGGATATTTTCTTTTCTACATTTCTTAATAAGAAGCTCCAATTTTCATATGCAAAACACAACCTGCAGCATTCCATGTACTGGTTTTAATTAGTATTACAATTCTAATTGAGCTGGTAACAAAATTTATTGAACCAAAATATAGACACTAAAGTTTGTGTTCTTTGGGGAAAGAGGAAACAGGGATTGGAAAGCCTGTGTCAAAGAAAATAAGGATAGGTAATATACAGCTGCTGCTACACATCTCCACTAAGAACATAGGTTAAAGAGTAGGGTCTAAGTTAGCACATCAGTCTGTTTCTGACAGTAAGGTGAAAATATTTACAGTGACATGGCTTTTATAAATCCTGCAATCAATATATTCTTTCAAACACTTCTATAAATGGCATGCCTTACTTAGTTTGCTCCTAATTTCCCAGTCTTCAGTTCAACTACATTCTATTATATATAAATAAACTTTAATTATATAATGTAGTGAGATTTTTAGCACTGTGAAAGTCAGTGTGCCATCTTTAAAGACCCAACTTGAAAGATACAACATGAACAGAACCCAGTGTATTCTGATGAGGATGTCACATTCACTTTGGAACACACATTATTTTCTTCAATTAAAATAAATACATGAACCACAAAGCTCCATATAGATTTGACATAAAATCAGAAAGAAACCAAGGCTTTGGTGCTGACTTAACTCTAAGCTTGAACTCAAGTTTCAAACTCATTGCAGGTAGCTTTTTTTAAATGTTCAATTGCATAACCGTATCAGTGTTTTAAACATTACATCACTGATGTTTGAGAAACTTCAGATGGAATCTCTCCTGACATTTTCAAGCGGTAAGAGGGGGAGAGAAATTCCAGCCAGAGAAGGAATAAATTTCAACTCAAGATATATAATGAAACTGTTATCTTCAAAATGAAGAAAAATATACAACTAGCACTTCTATATGTTTAAAATTACAGTATTAAAATTACTAATATTCTTTGGAATAACAAATATATTTCAATAAATTCTCTGGATGAGCAGTGAGTTTCTCTTAGAAGTTGAACTACCATATTTCAGCAGGCAAATTAAATATCTGAAAATAAATTAACTCCAATGAAAAACTGAAAAACAATCTCGAGTCTAAACTGATTTATCCAAATACATCTGAAGTATACTAGAAAAGAAACGTGGAAAGTTTAATGAACACTAAAAGAGAAACATGGAAAGTGTAGAAACAGTAAATAATGTTCACAGAAGTAACTGTCAAAGGCTTCTCTTACATGCCCAACATGCAGGAACAAATGAAGTCCCCAGGCAAGACATCTGGAGGCCCTTTCCAACCTAAATTATTATATCATTTTCCAGAAAAATTACAAAATACAACAGGAGGAAAAGAAATCAAAGCCCTAAGTAATTTACTTTAACATAGCCCCTTTCTATAATTCTAACTTTAATTAGTAAATGTAGACTGGA